ACCATGTTGCCCAGGCTGGTTTCGAATGCCTTGTTTCGGGCAACCCTCTTACTTCGTCCTCTCAAAGTACTGGGATTACAGGCTTGAACCACTACACCCAGCCAGCTGTCTCTTTTTCTCTTTCTTTTTCTTTTTTTTTGAGTTGGAGTCTCACTCTGTTGCCCAGGATGGAGTTCAATGGCATGCTCAAGGTCACCGCAGCCTCGACCTGCTGGGCGCAGGCGATCCTTCCACCTCAGCCTTCTGAGTAGCCAGGACTACAGGTGCGTGCTGCCACGTCCAGCTAATTTATTATTATTATTATTGTAGAGACAAGTTCTCGCCAAGTTGCCTGGGCTGATCTTGAAATTTTTTTTTTTCAGTTGGAGTCTCACATTTGTCGCCCAGGCTGGAGTACAGTGGCACGCTCACCGCCACCACCACCTCTACCTGCTGGGATTAAGCAATCCTTCCGCCTCAGCCTTCCAAGTTGCTGGAACTACAGACACAGGCCACCACGCCCAGCTAGTTTTTGTGATTCATTGTAGAGACGAGGTCTCACCAAGTTGCCCAGGCAGGTCTCAAACCCCTTGTCTCAGACACTCCTCTCACCTTGGCTTCCCAAAGTGTTGGGATTAAACAGGCTTGAGCCACCGCGCCCAGTCAACTATCTCCTTTTCATCATCAGAGTGTCTCTTTTTTTTTTGAGTTGGAGTCTCACTCTGTCGCCCAGACTGGAGTGCAGTGGCTGCTCCCGGCCACCACAGCCTCGACCCGCCGGGCCCTGGCGATCCCTCTGCCTCAGTCTTCCAAGTAGCCGGAATTACAGGCGCGTGCTACCACATCCGGCTAATTTTTTTATTTATTGTAGAGACGAGGTCTCTCCAAGTTACCCAGGCGGGTCTCGAACCCGCGGGCTCAGGCAATCCACTCATCTCAGCCTCCCAAAGCACAGGATTACAGGCTGAGCCACCAAGCCCGGCCCAGAGTGTCTCTTAAGTTGGATGAAAACTGTAGACCTTCAGTTGAGGTCTACGGAAATGGCGTGGCATTGTTAAGGAAGCTGTCGTTTGGCCACAGTTCGACTGGAAAGGACTGGAAGGTTATGTGTGCTTGAGGGCCTGGCATGGAAAGAACTGGCCACTCTTCCCAAGAGCCACGATGGCACCCACCAGCCTCATAAGAGGGAGGTCGATGGGAAAAGCCTGAGGTAGCAAACAGGACACACACCCTCGGTGCCACTGACAGCACATACGTTTCTGCTTCCATTCCATGGGGCACCCTGCACTGCCTCAAGGAGTGAAGGCTGATCTCTTTTCTGTCCCCTGAACGTGGAGCTTCTGGGGCTTGCAAAGGTAAGAGACAGGCTTCCGTCTTGCTTTTGCTTTCCTTGGATCCTGCGAGCCTGTCCTTTCTGGGTAAAGGTCTCCCTGGTTAGAAGATAAAGCACCTTTTGTTTTAGTTCTACTTTTGGAACTAGAATATCCGCTTTAGACAGTCTAATGCAACATTCGATGCTACCATGGGCATGAAGTGTTGTGAAGGCAGCGGTCGCCAACCTTTTTGGCATCAGAGACCAGTTTTTTGGGGTTTTTTTTTTTGAGTTGGAGTCTCACTCTGTCGCCCAGGCTGGGGCACAGTGGCATGCTCACAGCCACCGCAGCCTCAACCTGCTGGACTCAGGTGATCCTTCCTCCTCAGCCTTCCAAGTAGCTGGAACTATAGGCATGCATCATCACACCCAGCTAATTTTTCTTGATTTATTGTAGAGATGAGGTCTTGCCAAGTTCCCCAGGCTGGTCTCGAACCCCTGGGCTCAGGCAGTCCTCTCACCGTGGCCTCCCAAAGTGCTGGTACTATAGGCATGAGCCACCACACCCGGCCAACATGAGGGACTGGTTTTGTGGAAGACAATTTTTCCACAGATCAGGGCAGGGTGCGGGGGTGGTTTCAGGATGATTCGGGCACATGACACTTATTGTGCACTTTATTTCTACTATTATTATGCTGTAATATGTAATGAAATAATTAGACAACTCATGGTAACGCCGAATCAGTGGAAGCCCTGAGTTTGTTTTTCTGCAACTAGATGGTCCCTCTGGGGGTGACGGGAGACAGTGACACCCAAGGTGTGTTGTGTATGTTCAGTCTACTCTATAATCTCATTATGGTTGCTGTCACTGCAGAAAACCCTGCTTCCCAAAGACAGGATGTTGGAAATGGAAGCAGGCTTTTCAGTGCTGATCAGACAGCAGGCGGAGCTCAGGCGCTAATGCGAGCGATTGGGGAGCAGGGTGTGGTGGGGAGCGACTGTAAATACAGAGGAAGCTTTGCTCTCACTCCCCCGCTGCTCACCTCCTGCTGTGCGTCCCAGAGAGAAGAACGTTGGAGGGGTTGGGGACCCCTGACGTCGGTGATTCCATGTAACCCTCACTCCAACCCCCTGAGACAGTCATTCTTTCTCCCAAGTTGCGTCTGAGGCAGGACACAGGATGCAAGTCCAGACCTGCTCCTGGCACAGAGCTTACAGGTGTTGCGTCTGCCCTCAAGGAGCTGACAGTCAGTCGGCTGTGAAGATGAGTTGTACCTTGCTGGCTGCAAGCAAAACAAAGTCTAGCAATGTTTGTCTAACTGGAGCTCTTGGTTTTACAGGGAAGAAATCGTGATGGAGCTCCCATGTTCACTTGTGGCCACAAATTATTATTTAAATATGCAAATATAAACCTTGCATTTATTTATTTATTTTGAGTTAGGGTCTCACTCTGTTGCCCAGGCTGGAGTTCAGTGGCCTGCTCACGGCCACCACAGCCTCGATCTGCTGGGCTCAGGTGATCCTTCTGCCTAAACCTTCCAAGGAGCTGGAACCACAGGTGTGGGCCACCATGCCTGGCTAATTTTTTGATTTATTGTAGAGACGAAGTCTCGCCAAGTTGGCCTCGAACCCCTGGGCTCAGACAATCTTCTTGCCTCAGCCTCCCAAAGTGCTGGGATTACAGCGTGAGCCACCACACCCAGCTTAGAATGGCCATTATTTTAAAAATCAAAAAACAATAGTGGATGTGGAGAAAAGGGAATGCTGATACACTGCTGGTGGGAGTGTAAATAAAATTGGTATGAAGATTTCTCAAAGAACTAAAAATAGATCTACCATATGACCCAGCAATCCCACTACTGGGTATCTACCCTAAAAAGCAGACGTCATTATATAACAAAGACACCTGCACCCACATGTTCATTGTAATACAATTCACAATTGCCAAGATGTGGAATCAACAAATGGCCATCAACTGATCAGTGGATAATGAAAATATGGTATATGTACACCGTGGAATATGATTCAGCCCTCAGAAAGAATGAAGTCATGTCTTTTGCAGCAACCTGGATGGAATTGGAGACCATCGCTCTAAACGAACTAACTCAGGAACAAAAAACACCGTGGGTTCTCACTTGTAACTAAGAGCTAAACTAAGGCCGGGCTCGGTGGCTCAGCATGTAATCCCACGCCTTTGGGAGGCTGAGGTGAGTGGATTGCCTGAGCCCGTGGGTTCGAGACCTGCCGGGCAACTTGGCAAGACCTCATCTCTACAATAAATCAAAAATTAGCCGGGCGTGGTAG